GTAATCGAAAATTTTCTCAAATTCGTTTTGGACACGTTACAAATCCACAAAGTGAGAAGAAAATTTTTCGTCTTTTTCAGCTCGTAGTTTTTGGTATGTAAAAATTATCAAACTCATATAAACTTAAAAAATGTGATAAGCTTTTAAAAGTAGAGACTTCAAGCTTTAAAACCCTTTTTTTAAATTTGAATTTTATTCATTATTGACGAAGATATTGTATATACAACTTTGAGCTAAAAAATACGCGATGACTTTTTACTTAACCTAATATATATACACACTGTATATATACATTTTTTAAAGATGTGTAAAGACGGAACTTTTAATCGATATTTGAATATTGCCTGTACATTTTGTAAAGATTTTTGGATATTCCAGAGTTTTCTTGGAACGGTCTTTTTAGAAGGTTTTTAGAAATCTTTCGTGAATATTTCGGGAATGTTTAGCGTTAGCTGGGAATATTGCAATTTTATTAAAAAATAAAAGTATTGTATTTACTATAATTGTTATTCCTTATAAACAAATATTACAACCTTACATGCGAATGCATCCAAAATACATTTCTTAATATATTGTCTACTTTTGTGGTCGGATTGAATTCAAACAATAAGAAATTATTTATTATTATTTAAAGTCTCTAATGAATTAAGTATCATAACAAAACTCAATCAACGGGCGAAGTAAGAGTCAACCACATTTTTTTAAATTTTCATAAAATTATATATTATATTAACTGCGATGAAACATCACGCCAAAAAATTAGACTATAAACTAATAAATTACAAGTTACAAGTTTCGGCTACCGGTTTGAGCCCTCTTCAGACATTAGTACAATGAAAAATAACAGAATAAAATCAATTGTCGCAAGTATTCGCATATTCAGAATAATCACAGTTCGGGTGAGTCTTGATCTCGAAACATAATTTCCGTATGGAATTAAGTATCTGCTCTTCATTTGTTATTATACTTAAAAAAATTAACAATTCGTTATGTTATCTACTTCATCATGTTACTTTTTCTGTCCCTAACGGCGTTGCAAAGATACAGTTACGATTGATATTCATAATGGACAGCACTAATACATTCTATTTTTGAATTAAGCATTTAGCTTAAAAATCTTGAAATATACTTTTACTTATCAATATTAATATTACATAATACATTATGTACTTTTTATATTTTATATTTTTGTAGACACTAAAATAAAAATTTAAAATAAAAACTATTAAATACCCAATTTGAAATCACTATACATGAATATTATATAGTGAATATTATATATTCAGATATAACGTTTTTTAAGTACTTGATGCAAATATTCAATCCGAAAATGGAAAGTGTCAGTGACGCATTTAGAGTACAATATAGTCATAATTAAGTAATACAATCATAATTAATTGAAATAAAGTTATTATTGAAGCATTGATAATAAAAATAAATATTGTTACAGATGTTTCAATTCATGACGAGTTCATCAACCCTGCGAATTTGGACACAGCAGGATCTGTCGATCGCCTTCTTCTAGGATTAATAAATCAACCATGTCAGAGACGGGACGAATTCATAACCGAAGAGATGACTAATCATCTTTTTCAAACGCCTGGTTTTCCATTCGGCATGGATCTTGCTTCTCTCAATATTCAGCGGGGTAGAGATCACGGTTTACCGCCTTACATCCGATGGCGTAAGCCTTGCAGCTTGAGTCCGATAAGAACCTTTGAGGATCTTAATAAAGTGATGTCGCTGGACGTCATAAGAAAATTAAAATCATTATACTCATCGGTGGAGGACATTGATCTCTTCTCGGCCGGTCTAGCAGAAAAATCGATAGTTGGCGGTCTAGTTGGTCCGACTTTTGCTTGTATAATCGCTCAACAATTCAGTAATCTACGACGTGGCGATCGATTCTGGTACGAAAATCCCAATAGCGAAAGCAGTTTTACCGCTGATCAGTTGCAACAAATCAGACAAGTCACTTTGGCCCAAGTACTGTGCCAAACGATGGATGGCATTGAAACCATACAACCATTTGTTTTCCTCGCGATGGATTTATTGAAGAATCAACGTCTCTCTTGCGATGATTTAGCCATAGGACATCTGAGCCTTAAACTCTGGACTGAACAACCATCTCAATTCAAAAGCAACGTCGACAACTCGCAAAAAGTTAAACGAGCGGCGGCCGACACAAGTTTCTCTATTTCTAAGTTAAAAGAGGAAAACATTCATCCTAGGAGAAAAGTTTATCCTGAAAGTAATCCCAAACATACAAAAGTTACAACTCTAAAACCTTTCCAGAACAGCGTTAATCAAGAAAATAAAATCATTGTGAATAGACTACTTGTGCGTCCAAACAACAACAACGTCACGATTGTGGTCCAAAATAATGTCATAAACGCGCCTGTTTTCGTAAACGAAGGTATCTACGATTCACATATTAAAATTGGGGAACAGCTTCCTATTAGTTCAATTCTCCGACCGCAGGGAAAACCTATACCGACGACTATTCCTCATTCATCAAATTTTTATTTAGCACGTCAACCGTATGTTCCCTACACTTTTAACGATCCCCATAATCCGAATCCATTAGCCTATGGATACAGATTGCCTCCTTTCAGAGGATGACGTCTTTTACAATAACTATTCTGCTACTAATTCCAGACCTACTCTTAACACTTATTATACAAATTTCCAGCAGACTACTACGCAAATGCCACAGATTAATAGTTATTTGATTAATTACGGACTTTTATATCACAATTTGATTCCAGCATATTCTTACAAAAAACCTAAACTTCTAGAAAATTTCAAACATCATAAATTAAAAAATGAACAAAATCTAGTCCAAAAACCGTTGATCCTAACCTTTTAACAAATATGGAATTGATCAGACCTAATTATGCATCAAGTAATAAATCTTATATACATAAATCAAATTATGATGAATATAATTATCCAACAACTAACGCGACCAAATTTCCGACCGAATTATGCAACGAACGATGAATTTTATCGTTCACATAGATCAAGTTATAATGAAATCTACAACTGTACGACTAAATTCTGAACCAAATTATGAAATAAATAACGAATCTCATCATACTCACAGACAAAATTATTGTGGATATAAACCTTCGACAATCACACAGCCAAATTACGTATTAAATAATGAACCTTATCATACAGACAAACCAAATAATGACGAACATAGGTTTTTAACAAGTATGTAATCAAATCTTCAATCGAATTATGAATTCGAACGACAAATTATATCACAGATTATAATGTACTTAAATTTCCAGGCAACTCGCGACCAAATGAAAATTTGCATCATGTACAAAATCTAATTTATAATGGATTTATGTCCATAACAAACTTCCGATCAGATAAACAAAATCAGGAATCATATGGTAAACAGAAACTGAACGGTGTCAGAAATCAATATTTACAAAATAGTGATTTAATTAACGGACTGAATAAAGGTCATTCCATTAATCTCAATAAACCACAATATCGGGAACAATGGAATTCGAACAATCAAAAGAACCTAGCAAGATACCATATGGTTATGACGATCTTAATCTATATCAGAAAAAGCCGAATGTTGAATCAACCAAGTTATAGCATTAAATCCCATCAAACATTAACTACTAAGCCAAGTAATGAATATAATTCTCAACTTTGGAAAAAAGATTCGCTGCAATCTATCAAAAATTCTGTACAAATGGACTTTATGGATTTATTCCGAGTTCTGAAACAAATATTCCTTCTTATCAAAAAGATACATTTACAAATTCCAATATTTTGTTTTTTATAAATAACAATTACAATCGGTACTCTGATACTACTCAAATTGATCAAAAAATACTGTCATCTACTCAAAGCAGTTGGATAGTCATTATATCTCATATACAAGGCAATACTCAATCTCCTTTTAGCAAAGATATATATCCGTACGTAATTTATTTTTATTTAATCAGACACCAACAAGTTATCCGACTTATCAGAAAGATAATCAAAAGCACCTTTAAAAATATCAGGCAACAAATCCTTTGTTGATGTAGATTTACATGAACATACAATAATTCTCATAAAAATTCTTTAAAATCATACAGTTTAAATGAACAATTATTATCTAGCATTTCGACAGAAATTTCAACAATTGGTATTCAAGTATAATACATAAACAAGAAAAAAATTCAAATCCTAAACGAACAAAAGTGCAAAACGTCACAATTATCAGTGAAACGATCGAAGCAGTCCTCCATCCTGATCATATCGGATATGTATCTCAACCTAAAGCTACTAGTGAAATTCCAAGATCATTGGTACAACAGATAAAGAGCAATGTACCCGTTACTAAGAAAACTGGACAGTATTATTATGAAAAAAACGTCTTGCATCAATATCCAGATGAAATAGTTAGCCAAAGTCCCAAAAGTAATTCTCACTTGACAGACAAATCAAAACACTCATTCAGAATCGAAAAATGACATCTGAAAAGATTGCAGTAGAAACATCAGTTATTGACAATCCCATAACAAACTCTGAAATGATTCAAAACAAAAATAAATTGACAACGACACCTACGCTTCTGATTACTACTCATGATAATCACACAGATGACGTGGAAGATGTCCAAAGTGCTTTCTCGATAAATATCGAAAGTGTTGCAACGGCTGACATTCCCGACAGGTATTTCTTTTAAATACTGTTTATATAAACAATTGCACTTTGAAATTGTAACGTATATATACTTTTTACGTAATCGGCTATAGACAAGCGTATATGATGTTTCAATGGAGACACTATTTCGCAATAATCGTAATATATCTTTAATTAAATTTTTTTTTTATTAAATATCTCAGATATCTTTAATTATCTGTTACTTATATTATTTGATAAACCTGAAGTGTCAATAAATCTTTATATTCTGATTTAAAATTTTGACTTTTTTTTGTCAACAAGCAAGTTACCAAGATAATTTCACCTTTAATAAAAAACATCCAATTCCTTTTAGAATAAATCATTGAATGAATTTGCAAGAAGACATAAATTTATTATCTATGAAAATTCTTGCAGTTCTATCCGTTATATTCGTAAGTTTCAAGGAATTACCTAAGCTCAATAAATCGCGAAGTCATGATACTTCATGATTAATATAATTTTTTTTTAAATATGGGAATAAAGAAATTCTTATTTTATATTTTAGACTTTACTCTTATTTAATAAACGAAATTAAACATATTGTTACATCCGAGCTTCGGATAACCAAGGAGCTAGAGAGCTGTAACAAATACTAGCTTTTCCTGCCACATCCACACTCCGGATTTCCAAAGGGTTACGGAAGAACATGACTGAAATTTCTCTCGCGATCAAGCCCTGAGGAGCGGATCACGTGACCTTGACCACACGTGACCTTGACCGAGTGATCTTGACCACACGTGACCTTGACCACGTGACCTTGACCACGTGACCATCACCACACGTGACTTTGACCACGTGACCTTGACCCATGACTCGAGATAGTCAAACCCACATGTATTAAGGACTCAAAACTGGATCAATATGCCATGTGCATCAATTATGTCAGTGTGTTCGACAGTCCTTGTCTTTCGGTCATGGCATGAAATGGTTATCTTAATCCACGTGAACTCAATGTAATCTCAGGGGACCAGAGGATGAACACGAGAGATTAATAGAATAATCAAGGCTTTATTTCTATGATATAATTACTAAATTTATTCATTAGGAAATTTAAACACAAAATGTTACAATAAAAATAGACATTAAAAATAAACAATACAATTTTTTTGCTTTATTATACTGCGCGCGCGCGTGTGTGTGTGTGTGTGTGTGTGTGTGTGTGTGTTTGGGTACAGAGCAGAGAGGTACGATGAAGAAGGAATGTGTTAAATCAAAGGAAATTCATACGGTTGACAGAAAATTAGCGAGAGGCTGAAAAAGAGAATGGAGTGAGAGGGCGAAAGTGTTGGATGGGTATGGTAAAGGGGAACGGACTCTTGATATGCACGATTAAGCGGTCGTGAGAGGAAGGAGAGTAAGCCAACCAGAGATAGATGAGTTCATTCACGTCTTGCACTAATGATGTGTTGGAGAGGATGTCAGGAGTGGAGAATTAGGAAATATCATGCGGAGAAAGGAGAAAAGAATCACCTGTGAGCGAATGAGGTAATTCCGAAATCGAGTAAAATGTTGGTTCCGGGCTTGGAACGGAAAAAGGATGTCCGTCGGATCCCAGATGTTCATTCCCAGATTCAGAGCTGTAGGGAAATTGCAGTAAGAGAGTTCAAAAGGGGGAAAAAGGGAATTTTAATTAAATCTTATAAACCTGTTTTGATACTTGAACAATCAAATAAGACCTCTTTTAATATTATTTAATATACAGCTTCTATTCAGAAAACTTGTTTTGAACTTAAAAATAAAAAATTTTTCAATTAAAAATTTGCCATTTAGAGGTTCAACATAGAAGCTCAATTTATTAGATTAGAACCTATTATAAATCTAGAATCTATATACATTCTTATTATAAATCTTTAGAGTCAACATATGTCCTAAAACTATGATTCAAAGTAAAAGCAAAATTTTAACTCTGGCAAAATTTATCCGTCAAGTAATAACAGTATAAAGACAGCGAATCTCTGCAAGGTAAGTGACAGAGAGAGAGAGAGAGAAAGAGAGAGAGAGAGAGAGAGAGAAAGAGGAAGGGGAGAGGGGAGAGGGGGGGAAAGGGGGGGAGAGAGAGAGAGAGAGAGAGACAGAAAGAGAGTGTTGCACACAGTTGATTGCAACGAGTGCTTTTTGTGGTCGCTTGCGTCAGACGGCTCTCGGCACCGCCCCTGCTTACCTTCTATACGCGATCTGTGATTCGCTAACTTTATCCTTTAATAACTCAAAAAGTAAGCGTCGGATGAAATTTTTGTATAAGAAAAATCGTCGTTAGAATTCATTCAAGACACGTCTGTGCAAGGACACGGGGTTTATTTGAACCCTGTATAGAGATTCCCCTGAAGTCAGTCAGGTTTGAATTGGTAGAATTTCTATGGGGGGGGGGGGCAGGAATAGACTTTTATTAATTATTGGTCAGGATTCTTTTTCCCGCTCCAGGATTGGACAAAGTTCGAAATGTATTTTTGAAGAAGGAAAGAGTGTTCGACGAAATCTGTGTAGTGTCATCTTTAATTTTTTACACTAAAATTACGTACAGAGGTACGTTAAGAAAGCACACGTGCAACGTCGGCACAGAATTACCAAAAACATTTTCCTAATCGTTTCTTGATTTTACAATCGCGGACTCGTGGGAATTGTCCCCGACTTGACCGTTAGAGAAATGTTTTGGCGCAAGTCCTGCTCTCCCAAACGATTTATATATTTATCTTTAATCGCGATGTCTAAGGAGTTCTTGGCGTCCTTTTGGTCCCGCTGTTTGCGTATGTGCATTGATTTTTAATTATTTTTGAGAAACATTTACGAGGAGATACTGGATTTTTGGCTATGAATTTGGATATTTAATTTTCCGTATGAAAAAAAATGTTATTAACTTCTAAATCTTCAGCATCTGACTTGTTTGTTACTCGTAACTGTTTATTATAATGCTACAAATTCCAGACCTCCACAGAAGAAAGAATCGTGGAAGTCCACTGGATATAACAATGGGAGAGTTCAAGTTGACAAAGCGGCTAGCCTGCTCGCCAAGCAAATGAACATAATTGGTCGTTATATATTCAACTTATATCCACTTATAGATCCAACCAATCATATTCAATTGCTCGGTAAGCATGCTTAACCGCTTTGCCGTCTTGAACTCGCCCAATATATTATCGCATTTAATAAAGTATCTACACATTTATCAGGAATGTGATTTAGTTTTGCGAGTTTTGAAAGAGGTGGCACTAATGTCAGAGTTGTCAAAGACATTTCAATCGCAGCTATTATTTCTTAATGCTTTATTTTTATTATTTGATAATTACTATCATTAAATAGTCATTTACTAATAATAGACGCAGTAAACATTGGTTTATATCATTTAAAAAATGGAGCTTTCTAAAGAGCATTTTTTACACTTTTGTTTTTTAATCAGAAAAAAACGGCAGCTGAAGGTCATAAAAATCTGATGGAAACTTATTATGATACGAGGGAAAGTCAATAAGTTTTTAGAAAAACATTTTTTTTTATCGATTTATTTTTATTTCTCAACATAGTCTTCTTTCAACTCGATACACTTGATCCAACAATTCTCCAACTTTTTCAAGCCGTTCGAATAATATGATTTGTTCAACCCTTCAAAATAAGCCTCTGTTTCAG